GGGAAGGGGGGGGGGGGGGGGGTGTCACACATTGCAGAAACCCCAGCAGGAGCAGAGACAACCCCAAGGCCACATGAGGACGCTCTAATGCCCAATGAGGGTTTAACTCATATGCACAGTCAGCCCTCTAAAATGAACCACAGAAGTTGATGGATTCACCGATTTCGTTAGAGCTAATCTAAGTGTGAATAAGTCTGGATGTGACTCGTAGCATTACTTCTACAATTAACACTTCTCAAAGTTCCTACCAAAAAAATCCACCTTCAGGATTGCATGTAATAAAAAAAAGAGGAGGAGGAGGAGGAGGAGGAGGAGGAGGAGGAGAAAGTGAAGGAGAAGGAGAAGAGAGAGAGAGAGAGAGAAAGGAGGAGGAGGAGGAAGGAGAGGTAGAGGAGGAATAATACTGTGTTGTAATTTTTAAAAAAGGAACTACTGTGGGAAGACAGGCAGAAGACAAAATTGCACCAGTTCTCTGTACAGAGCATGACATTGCCAAGTCCCTTACCTACTCGAAGCTCTTGACCGAAGACGGTCTTCTCCCCCAGGGCTGAGCAGTTCCACCTGCCATATCGGAACTGGTACTGACATTCGTTGATTCCCATCTGGGCCCCTTCTCCAATAACTATGATGGCATCAGGGCGGCTCTGGCAAATTGCTCGTTGCCGTGGGGCCAAGCCTGGGATCTTGTTGCAGATTATATTTGCTCCCAAAGCCACCACCGATGACAACGCTCTGAAGAAAAGCAGAAAAGCAGCATTAGAACTAATGGAAACCATTAATTCTATTTCCTTGATAGAGCAGCTGGCTGGACAAGACAATTGTCTACAGTGAAAGGAAAAGGGCTGGAAGATGGCTCCTATAATTATGCTCACTTATCTCAACCTCTTTGGTCTGGCAGTTGGGCTGGAAACCTTGTGTGACTTTCGGTAATGCCTGATTTCCTTGGACCAGAGTTACCATGTGTACCATCTGCCTTACAAAATGTTGGCACTTGCAGACTCTGTTGGCCATCAAACTAGGAAGTGAGGAGATGCGAGAAACAGATATTCAAATTTGATTTGGATTTTTGGAAATCTTCGTAGCTGAAATTCACGTTGAGTGTAGAGGGGCTTGGCTCAGCCTGGCTGCAGAACGCAGGACGACTACAGTTCGTCCCTTCTAATTTTAAACCACAGCATAAAAAAGCAGGGAATGACTTTATTTGACCAACATTCATGCTCATTATTATAAACATGAAGTGGTGAATGATTAATAGGAGCTTGTAAGCATAAATTTCAGAGTCAGATTTTTCAGACCTGGAAAATGGTTTGGAGCAGTCCAGAAAAGCATCTCAAATGTTTAGTCAAAGAAGCATTTTTCAGTAATTGTAACAGACACTTTATAATTTTCATTAAAACCTTTGCATACTGTGGTACATTGTCTCAGGCATGAACGAATCCAAAACTGCATTCAAATTCTTGGCTCCCAGTGGGATCTCTCCTCAGTTCATTTACCTTCAATTTATAAGGCTGTGGGTCTGAATCCCACAATACTCTTGGCATAGAGGAAGCTAATTCTTGGAAACAAGATGCTTGGCTAGCACGACTCTTGTGCTGATCAAGCAAGGCTGCAGTTTGGCTCTTTGGGGTGAAACAGACTTCTCTGTCATCCTAGCAAGGACTTGACTCAGAAAAAAACACTGTGCCTGACAGGGTTGAGGGAAGGAGAAGCAGGGGGGACAACAGACGTGGTGGGTGAACACCATCAAGAAGATTATGGGAATGTCCAAGGAAGAGTTAGTTTGTCACCAGGAGAGTCAAGATACCGTCCCAAGAGGTTAAGCCTCAAGACTCAGGATTTTGCTGCAGGCTAAGGAGAGGTGAAACCTCCAGTCCTGAGAAATATCTGAGATGGATCCCTGCTGAAGTGACAGTAGATTTAGAATCAGGTAGGCAACGCCAACCCTCCTTGAAAAGGTGAAATAGACAGAAGGATTATCGCTATGCTGGGAGTTTTATTTTCATCAGGCAGATAGAGAGCTCTGGAAGAACTTGTTTCGTGGTGACTATCTTTTGGTTTCATAACAGAATGTCTCCAAACCCTAAGAACCGTAGGCTCTTACACCCCTCTCCCACCCAGCCTCCCAACTTCTAAAGCACATCCAGTTCTCCTCTTCCTGCATAATTTCAGTGATTAGCGAAGAATAAATGTTGTGACTTCTTTATGCAAGCAGATCAAATGCCAAAGCATCATAGCTCTGTACAAACCTTAACTGCGCTGCCTTTCTTAGTGACGAACATAATGCAAACATAATATTTGCTGATTAACTCTCTTAATAAGAAACGCCAGCGGAGAACGCTTCAAGATGGCTCATGTACAAAGCCGCGATGGAATGCAGCGATTCAGGCAAGGCATGGCCTTGAACGAGCTGCTGGAGGAAAGGCAGCTATCAATTAGAACAGAACTTGCTGTGTACAGCAAGTATCTGAAGCACGTCCAGGATCCTCAGAACGCAAGCAACAGGCTTCAGGTACAAATTCTTCCACCCACTCTCCATGGAACAGTCAGGTCCCTACTCTTAGACAATGCCCCTGGTTCAGATCATGTCTCCAGGCACAATGCAAGAGCTGCTTTTGACTTCTAATGTCCTTGGTGTCCTAGGAGCAAGGACAGAACTGCCTGGTTAAGTAGCAGCTTATAGAGTGAGGTCTTAGCTGATCTCCAGAAGCTTAAGCAAGGTCAGATATGGCTCGAGTTTTCAGGGGAAACTTGTAAACTTACACCAGGAAGAATCAGGACTATAGCCTGACCAAGAAGTCACAGCTCAGGAAAAAAGTTGTGGCAAACCACTCCCATATCGTTGCCAAGAAAGCAACATAGACATCTCCCTGAAATCACCAGGACCTGCATGGACTCCAAGAAGGATTTCCTGATCCAGTCTTAGCACCGTCTGCCTACCTGCTTAAGTCACCAATCACTTACTCAACATTGACACTGGATTGATGGTTTTCTAACCTTTTAATTCCTTTAAAAAGAAAAAAGAATTACTACTTGGGGTTGGAGAGAGAGAGAGAAGTGTTCTGCCCTTAACAGAGGATAACAGTCCAGATCTACTCTGTGCCAGACAAGCCATAATTCAATGTTGTCCAGGTAACCTTGTCTTAGAATATAAAACAATTGGATCATATCCAGAGAAACACTGGGTAGTCTTCAAGGGCAGCCCTATGTTCAATGCATTGCAGAGGTCAATCTGACCAGTGATGATAGCATGAGTAATGATCACCAAGGCCTCCTACACCAGGTCAGACCACAACTGGTGTGCCAGTCAAACCCAGAAAAAGTCTCCCTTAGGAACACTTAGACACACACCACCAATTTGTCTGTAACAGACAGGAGATGCCGCATCCCTTACATAAAACATGTGAAAGGTAAACAGCAGATGGAAGGTTCCCGTGCCAAGAATTTCCAGTTCATGCCTCTACATGTCTGTATATACATTTCTCCCATTACCCACTTTGTGCTCCCAACAGGGAATATTGGCTTATATGTTGTTACCCACAACAAGCCATTAAAAGGGTCAAGATCTGCCCAAAGCAGGCAATTTTTCTATAGGAAATACTCAATACACCTGTAGATAGTGGGAAGAATTATTTTATTGGCCGAGGGTACAATAAAATTTTAAAACTTCAAGAGAAAAGTAAAAGTATGTAGGTAGAGATGCACCGTCCTCCCACTTCCTTCTTTGTTAGCCTTATCGGCACTCTCTCACCTGCTTTGTGATTCTTCAGATAGTTTCCTAACCAAGAAGTTGTTCACTCTCCTTTCTGGTACAGTCACCACTGGGCAGCATATCTAAGCTAAAGTCCCATCAGTTTTGGCCAATGAATCAAGCCCAGATGTTTGGGGCCTGGGGTAAGATGGATGAATATCAACGTGTGGAGACAGATATCATGACCCAGGCCACATCTGACATCAGGATGCAAGTATGAAAGGCTGGAGATTGCGGTGATACAATGTTGTCAGTTTTTACAATTCATTGTGGTTTGCAGCAGACACGTATGGAATTTAAGGAGGAGGAGGAGGAGGAGGGGAGATAGCAGCATAACGTGATAATCACATACATTTTCCTCAGAGTGACAATCACAAATATAAAATTTATCAAGTCAGATCAATCCAGTAATAACAGGCTACCCTTGTATAGGAAGGGATGATAGCTTCATAATATGGGGACCACATTCTTTACATGCAGGAATTCTTGGGTTCAACCTTGAGAGCACATTTGATCAGCAGGATCTCAGGATCTCAGGTTGGGATACTGGAGAAGATCACCACCCACAACTTCAAAGGTTGCTGGAGTGGAATTCTGGCTTGACGACCCCAGAACTTGAGCTGTGGCTGACATGCGGTCCGTTTTGTGGTCACTGAGCCAGAATATTGATGCATCCTTTCAGCAGATGCACGGAACGGATTTTTGAGGGATTACTTAAAAAATGGCTTCTTTTCTCTGTCTATTTGCCTATCAGAAAGCTTCAATCACTGTTGGCAAGGAATGCGTACCAGGCCTAGATGGAAGGGAGTTAGCCATGCACAGATCCCATTAACAGAACACTCAAATCCCTTGACGCAGCTTTAAAAACCTCTCCTACAATGGCTGATTAAGATAACAACAACACTGTATAATGGAATCTTTGTGCGAAAGGGCTGCCACGCATTTTGCAGCGATACTTTGACACATCTGAAACACAATCTCACTACGGGATGGTTTATTTAATTAAGAATTCCTAAGTAAATGTTTCTGAGCAGCTATACATTACTGAAAGTTGGCAGAAATACCTTTGGCACTTGATTTCATCTGCATGTATGCTGATGTTCTCAATGCTGTTCTCCACTTTAGTCTTCAAACAATTCATTGTTAGCTGAAGTAATGATGAAAAAGTGCTGGGGTGGGGTGGTTCCAGTGAGGGGCATCTGTGGGGATGTAAAAAAAGTCAAGATGGCAGGTGTGACCCTGTGGCTGAACCCTGCTCCGTCGTTTGCATGTGTCGTGGCTTCGATCATGGTTACCATCTTGACATTTTTTAATCCCCTCCCTCAGGGATATCCCTGGCTCCAGTTTTGGCCCTGACTCTGCACTCAGTGTGCAAGCTCTGGAAACTGGAAAGGTTCCCCCCAGTCAAAGAAGGATACAAGGCAGACCCCAGAAACTTGGAGGATTGGATCAGAAAGACCAACATGCAGAATGAGCTGAAGGTCATGAGAAATATCCAGAACAACCACCTCAGACACTTGTAGGACTTTTTCAGGAGAAGGGGGCCACCGTTATGATATAGGATGAGATTTCAATGACTCTCACGGTAGGGAGAGTCACAATACTGTACACTTAGTTGCTCAGTGTCCTACTCCATGACAAAAAAGCAGCCCTTAGTGGTCTCAAGAATGCATTAATATATATTTTTGCCACACCATCTGTTCCTTAAATTTGGCAGCTTCCCATGTTTTTCCAGAAAACAATCCCACATGCAGAAGATGGAAAACCAAATCAGTCCATTGGTTCATCTCGCCCAACCTTTCCAGCTAAGCTGGAACACGTAGCTGACTTTAGCTGATCAGAAAAGCTAACGAGGGTCAGTCACGCTTAGTGCTTGAATGGGTGACAGCCAAAAGATTTCAGAGATGTACGGTAAACTGGGGAATAACCCCAAAATGAGAGCCAGCCTTTGAAGAAGACAATGCCAAACCACTTCTGTACAGTT